AGATTTGGCTTTTTGTTTCTCCAGTTTTGTCATACCAATATAAACAAAAGAAATAAACACGAGAATGCCGAAACATTTGTCATTGCAACCAATTTCTAGGTGAAGTGGTGCATTATCTGATGAAATGAAGGGGTGCCAATATTTTTTCCATGACTGTAAATTACGTGGGATGTGTAACCATGGCACTCGACTCATAATCCCCACATAAAAAAATATTTCAATTCCACTTTTAAGTGATCCCTGAAAAACTTTTTTTTTTTTTTTCAGAGAAGCCTATTCTTCCTCCACCTAACAACTGTATATTAATTTATGCATCATCACCCCCCCAATCACCTGTCTGTCCCTTTTTAGATTGTAAGCTCTGACGAGCAGGGCCCTCTGATTGCTCCTGTATTGAATTGTATTTCTAATTGTACTGTCTACCCTCATGTTGTAAAATACTGTGCAAACTGGTGGTGCAATATAAAACCTGTATAATAATAATAATTCCCATATTCCTATAAAAAAAAGTTACATATTTTATGCTGGATGTGTACACATGATATTGCCCCCACACAATTCCCATAAATAAAACTAATTTTATCAATATTCTTATCTACACATCCCACGTAATACATTTTACCTTTTTTAAACATACTTTTCCCCATTTGGGAAAATAATTATATGCATGTTCTTATCAGAAATAGGTCAACTATAGTCCTTGGCATATGTATCCACAATATGCACCCATAATCACCATGTAGAAAAATAACTATTCTCATATTCTAATCAGAAACAAGTAAAAAGTGTTTCTAGGCATGTTTAAACCAGATATTCCACCCATAATCTTCATGTAGAAAAATAACTGTACCCATAATCCTTTCAGAAATGGGTGAAATAATTTCCTTGACATGTGTATCCACAATAATACACTCATAATCCCCATGTAGAAAAAGCTATTATATTTTTATCAGAAAGGGGTCAAATGTGTTCCTGGGCATGTTTAACCATGATGTTCCACCCATAATCCCCATGTAGAAAAATAATTATTCACATCATCTTTTCAGAAATAGGTCAAATACGGTTCTTGCCATGTGTATCCACAATAATACACCCATAATCCCCATGTAGAAAAAGAGCTATTCTCATATTTTTATCAAAAAGAGGTCAAATGTTTTTTTTAGGCATGTTAAAAAAACAATATTCCACCCATAATCAGTAAAATAAACATCAGTCAAATGTGTTCCTAGGCATGTTAACCATGATATTTCACCCATAATCCCCATGTGGAAAAATAGCTATTCTCATATTTATCAGAAAGGGGTCAAATGTGTTCCTAGGCATGTTAGAAAACTATATTCCACCCATAATCCCCATGTAGAAAAGCAGCTATACTCCTTTTCTTATCAGAAAAGAGTCATGTATGTTAGAAAACTATATTCCACCCATAATCCCCATATAGAAAAAAATAGCTATTCGCTTATTCTTATCAGAAAAGGGTCAAATATGTGCTTGGGCATTTTCAACCATGATATTCTACCCACAATCCCCATATAGAAAACTACCATTATTCTTAGGAGAAACATGTCCTATATGGTCCTTGGTATGTGTATCTGCAATCATCCACCCATAATCCCCATGTAGAAAAATAACTATTCTCATATCAGAAAGGGGTCACATTTTTTTTCCTAGGCATGTTTTACCATGATATTCCACCCATAATCCCCATGTGGAAAAATAGCTATTCTCGTATTATTAGAAAAGGGTCAAATATGTTCCTAGTCATTTTCAGTCATGATATTCCACCCATAATCCCCAAACAGAAACATAACTATACCTATATTCTTAGGAGAAACATGTCAAAGATGGTCCTTGGTATGTGTATCTGCAATCATTCACCCATAATCCCCATGTAGAAAAATAGCTATTCTCATTCTTATCAGAAAGGGGTCAAATGGCTTCCTAGGCATGTTCAACCATGATATCCCACCCATAATACCCATATATAAAAATAACTATACCTTTTAATTATTTCAGAAATAGGTCAAATATGGTCCTTGGCATGTGTATGCACAATAATCCATCCATAATCCCCATGTAGAAAAATATGCATTTGTTTATCCGAAATAGGTTAAGAGTTACCATGATATAATCTTCATATAGAAAAGTAATTTTACCCACATTTAATTGAAATTTAATATGTATGGGTTTTGTAACCATTTATATTCCAGCTACAGTCCCCATGTAGATCAGTATTAACCACATTATCAGAAATGCATTCATTTTTTCCTTGGCGTTTGTAAGTTTTAATCATTTTTCAAACATAATTTTCCAGATTCCTAAGAAAACAGTTCAAAATGTAGTGCTTTACACATACATGTACTGTATGAAATCAGTAAATCTATTTCTATTAATATATTAATGAGTAATGTTTCCATTATGTCTGTATAATTTACTGTGATGCCATTTTACAGCTGCATATGTATCAGTAAGTGCCACTACTACTTGCAACATAGTATCA